CGCGCATCTTCTGAAGGGGTGCAAAACATCCATGTGCAAAGCCACTATCTTTCCCTTTCTTGATCATCGGACAGCCATTTTCGTGTCGTGTTATCCAAGAGCAGGTCGACGGCGTGGTCGATTGGTTTGATGATGAAAGGTACGGATCCCAATCCCACTGCTGTTGGAAACCACTCCTTGACTACTGCACCCAACACCAGGGGAGAACGGGCAACGGCGAAGCGGGATGCTTTCACCAGCATGTTGATTGTCGCTCCCGGTATCATGACACTAGCAAGACTCTGCCACAACAGTACATCTCCAGCCTGGATTGCGGTCTTGGCTTCACGCGAAAATCTTGATGAAGCAGAGGATGATTTTTCATCGTTTGAGTTGGTGGGAAAACTATGCCATGTATCGTACCCAGTGGTCGCTGCGTCTGCAAAGCAATATCCGAATGAAACAACGTAGCTGGGTACCACCAACCGAGGAAACTGATACCGGAAAGATTCGCCTACTTCATTCGCATATCCTGCATACCGGAGCGGCGAGTCTCGGAAGATATCATACTTCTTGTTCTCGACATCGACTGTTGGCTCCGACTTCATCGTTGATTTTTGTTTGAGCATTGAGCAAACGGAACTGAAGTGATGAGGTCGAGTTTCCTTCGGAATTTTGAATGGATCTTTGAATGACGTCATTCAGCAGAGCTGTGTAAGCATCGAAGGCAACAACGGCCTTCAGATTGGAACAGACATCGTTCCAATGATTGCTCGACATGGCACACCTGGCTCGGCAAAAGAGCCCAAAGGATTGAAATACACGCACTACAACTACTAAGTACTTTGTGGAGGACAGATCCCATACGGTAGGAACTTTGGTGGTAGTGCTGAAATGATAGATGGGTGATTGGAAATTTGCAGAACGGATGCAAGACAGTGGAAACCTCACCGAGTGGTTGCGAAAGATTCCAACCAAATCTGAGATTGCCTCTGACGATGGTACCTGACACTGGAACCTTCGTCCACTATTAAAACGAAAAGGGAGGCTTTTTCCGCCTCTACGATCTATAATTGAGAAGACTTCAAAGCTAGACACTTATTCTGAGATGATGCCTATGATCCCGTTAAGGATTTAGTGTTTTGTGAATATCTCTTGCCAGATAGACGTCACGAGTGCCTTCTTCTTCAATGGTCCAAAACATAAAGCCACGAGGCGAAAGGTCGCCATGGTCCGAGTTTTGGAGGGCATTGTAGGCCTTCTGAATCTGTTCAGGGGCTATGAAAATGTGTTTGCGGTTCTCAGGATCTGCTGCCCAACCATTTGCTAGGCCAATCACCAGCTTTTTCAGCGGCAAATGGGTGTACTGTCCTTCCATATTCAGATCCTTGTCTTGCGAGAAATCCACATAGAACTTTTCCTTTTGCTTGACAACCAAATCTTGTATGTAGGAAATAAGATAATCTTCTGGCTCTATGTTTTCGTGATACACCGCCATGGCTGCCAGCGAGTAGGATTCATACAACTGCATTGAAACAAAGTCGATGAAATCTCCATACTTTGCCAATACATAAGAGTAGACATTGGCGCCAAAGTAGTGGAACTCTGAATGCCATGGCCGATCGGGTTCCGTGAGGTTCACATATCGGCTTAAGTGCGGGTTGTCAAAGTTCATGTAGCTCTGAGGAGGTGCCATCCCAACCAAGTAACCGTCTTCCTTCATCATGCGACTGATGTGTCCCATCTTTTCTAGACATTCAATTGTAAAGACGTTGGTGGGTCTGGTCAGGTCGTCGTGTCCCTCTAAATCCCAGTCCATGCCATGGAACAGACTTCCAGCTTCACTTTCTTTCCAGCAGTCGTACCACTCCTCCGCACTCAAAGCTGCATCCAGATGAGGCCCATTCCAACCCCCAAAACTGACCAAGTGGATGACATGATTATACCCATTCTGGTCGAGTTCCTGAATCAATTGGCGAATTCCGTTGAGGTCAAGGTCTGTCTTGATTCTGCCTCGTCGTGGTGTATCGGTATCTGTTTGGCTTTCCAAAAGTTCTCGGTGATCCGAATCTTCATGCTCATTATCTACAGCAACAATGTCCATGAAAGCCCAAATCACAATGTTGACACCATCATGGACGGCCTTTCGGACACGGTCGCAGTTTGTCCCATATCCTATCAGCATCTTGGCCGGAAGAGGTCTTCGGTTACGACTCCTGGTTGGTGATGCCATTGCCTCCACAAGCACTGATTCCGTAGAAAGAGGACTGAGGGAAGCAATCAATGCTAACGTTAGTAATGGTAGGCAAAGAAGCCTTTGAACGGACCAGCTTGTCCTTTGTTGTTGTTGCGCCATGGACCACAATTCTAGCAATTGAGTGGCGTCTTGATGTCTTTTCATTTTAAAATGGGAAAATTATTAAAATTTCAAGGGTAGCTAGAAAAAGATCATGCTACCGCGTTAAAGTTTTGGAACGGCATTTAGCTAGTCACAGTTCACTCTCAACTCCAGCCCATCAGCTACCGTACCACTATCCATCCCATTATGTTTGAAGCAGCTCTTGAAGCCATGGCAAGGCACTCCAGTCGAGTTAAGTTCTTCCTAGCTACAAGTACCGTATTCAAAGTAGGGAAGTGCATCACCATCAGTCGAGGGCTCTAATCTTGAAGGTGCGAGCATCCACCATGGCCGCTAAAACATGAATAGTCTAGGTTGCTTGCTTTTTTAAACTTGCGTGCTACACATTACCGTGTCTGAAATGTACTCTTGTCATTGTCTCTTCCTGGCAATGTTGCCGCCGTTGGTGGCGATCGTTTCGCTATACCACAAGGCAGAACTCTTTGGTGTTCGAACCTGTGTTTCAAAGTCCACGTAGCAGATACCAAATCTCCGTTGATATCCATACTCCCACTCGAAGTTATCCATCAAACTCCACGCAAAGTACCCCGCCAGTCTGACTCCTGCATCTATCGCTTCGGCGCAAGCTCGCAAATGGCCTTCGAAAAAGCTTCGTCTGATTTCATCGTGCTGCGCCGTTTCGACATCATGGTCGTCCTCGGCGGTGCCATTTTCTGTAATGTACAACAGTGGGTTACCGTATCTTTCACGGATCCAGAGTAGCAGCTCCCTGGTGGCATCTGGAACAATGGCCCATCCCATAGAGTTCTTTTTCCAGCTGGGATCGTTTTGTGTGGTGACAAACATGTCGGCCCAATAACCTCCCCATTCCGGTTCCTTTTTGGGTTTCGTGGTGAGGGCCGACGAGTACGTGTTGATTCCCAAAAAGTCACAGGATCCTTGCAATTGCTCTTGTTGTTCGGGCGTGAATACGGGCAAGCGACTCCCCAATCGTTGCCGCATGACGTCAGGATAGTCCCCAAAGATGACTGGGTCCATGAACCATCCAAATTGAAACAACATGGCTCGTTCGGCAGCCTGGATATCGTCTGGTGAGTTGGGGTCGAGTGGATACCTGTAGTCTGCCGAGTTGGAGATGCCAATGAATCCACCTTGTGTTTTGGAAAATTCTTGTTTGAAAATAGTCGCTGCCTTGGCATGGGCCAGAAGTTGATTGTGTGCGACAATATACGTTTCCGTGGCCCCGTTGGAATTTCTCCCGGGAGCCTTGATTCCATCATTGTAGCCATGGACGGCGACGGTCCAAGGTTCGTTGAGAGTGATCCAGTGTTGGACGCGATCTCCAAAAGCCTCAAAGCAGATGCGTGAATAGTTTGCAAACGCATCCACCACTATGCCACTCGGATCCAGCCAACCGCCGACATCATCCTCGAGCTGTTGCGGTAGATCCCAATGAAAAAGAGTGATCCAAGGATCAATATTGTGTTCGATCAAGGTATCAATCAGTCTATTGTAAAAATCGATCCCCGCCTGATTGACGCCTTGCTCTTTGTTGTAGTATCCCGAGGGAAGGATCCTTGTCCAGGCAATGGAGAAGCGGTATCCCTGCAAGCCCAACTGTTTCATGAGCTGGACATCTCGTTCGAACAAATGGTAGTGATCACAGGCGACATCTCCCGTGTCATTGTTCAAGACGTGTCCACCCTGATAACAAAAGGTATCCCACACAGTCATGCCTCGTCCATCCTCGTGAGCCGCGCCTTCTACCTGATAACTAGAGGTGGCGGATCCAAACAGGAAACCTTTTGGAAATGCAACTATATCATTACTAGTATCTTGGTCAAAGACTGGGGTGGTACTGACAGAACTAGCCCCTTTAGTGGTAGTGTTGTCTCCTCTCCAGGACATCCTGGCTGGCACCCCTACAAGGACCAGCAAGATTCCGGCACTTGCGACAAGAAGCGCATATCTACATGAAAGCTTTTGTAGGTTCCATCGCGACGGTGTGTCCTCATTGCGAGGCACCAACGACGTTCTTTCATTGGATATCATTGTTGTACTTTTATGTCCGCTGATCCTCTTGCTATCTTGATTCGATTCCTGCCGTATGATCGATCGAGGACAAAACCGTCGTCTGAATGAACAAGAAAATGAAAGGTGCCGGCTGGATTGCGATTGCAAGTTCAAGGAATGGATCTTTTGATCTGGCACGATCTTGAGACATGGATACTGGTCGCATTTTTCAGATATTCGATTCGATTCGATTCGATTTTGTGATTGAATAAATGATCGAATGATTCAACAGCGTGCGTTTCTTCGCTGTTGGGATTTGTCATTGCCATCTTCGTGGTTCCTTTGCGCTTTGGTTTATTCCACGGTGCTGTCCATCCTACCGGTACGTGTACGGTACTGAATCTGCCCGATACACACAAAACTAACCAAGACCCCGTATTACTCGAAAGGAGCTGGTCCAAATGGCGTCGACCTCCAACAAGCATGACAGCCAGATAGAACGTTCAGCAGGTCGCAAACTGGAGTCTCCCGGCATGAATCGTTCTTTTCAGTCTGCAGGCCGCAGTGGGCCAAGCATGCTTGATCCAGACTCCAACTGGCATTGTGATGGCCACAGTGAGGCATAATTTTTGCAGCGAAACATCCCGAAGCAATGGCGGAAACGACAGTGAAGAAGAGGTGGTAGAACGCGAAAATTTTGTTGTTGCCGTCGTAGTGTCACCTAAAAACAATCTCAACATGTATTGGAAAGGGTCGAAATCTCTTGAGTGGGATGCGGACCTTGTCCAGCCCCAAGATTACTTCAAGTTCGACGAGCTAGCTGATGCGGCGTGGAAGTATGGAAACGAGCTGCTGCTTATCGACTTGGTAGACAAAGAAGCCGGTTTGCTGCATGCTTTCAATGAAACTGGAATCAAAGCATTTGAATCTCTGAGCCCGGAGTACTGTTTGGAGGAGGGTATGAAGGTGGGCATCATCGCTCACAGTTGTGTTGCTGTGCTGGCAAAGAGCATGAAGAATAACCTTGGAGACCAAGAGACCTATTAGCCTCAAGAAGGCGACACATTCGTTACAGTTGGCGTCATCACGTATGTGGGGATCGAACATGTGGAGTACTGTGTCAATACAGTTCCAGGATTCTCTGGTGGCCCAGTATTTCTGTTGCGACATGGGGAAACAGAAGACATGAAGATCATCGCAGTGCATGCCGGATACTCTGAGGATCGTCAAACAAACTTTGGCTTCTTGGTCGCTCGCGAAGTCGCCGACAAGAGCCCTTGTGTGGCTCTATGGTTGGCTGGCTACCGTGGCAGTGGAAGCGACTAAGTTTCATATTTTTCGTAATCGTCTTTTTATTTGCAACCCAGTGGTAGAATACGAAGACCTGCTCTATAAGGCTACTAGTGGAGCCTTCAAGATGCTCCCAACCGCTGAAACGATGCGGCCAGCGCCCCAAACAATGGTACGCTGCGGCATTCGACTGTCGCTATAGACCAAGGAGTAAGGAGTTCTTTGGGCGACCAAGCCTTCGGTGTTTTGAAAAGGAGGCTACTGTAGTACTTGTAACGAACGGCACTTCATTCTTGTGCTTTTTTGATTTTGCGGACATGAAAACCGGATGCGTTGTGTTCAATTTTGTCTTGATTCTGGGTAAATGCCTTTTTGGGTGCCCATTTGGGCTTTCTTCGGTTTGCTCTTCGTCGCTCCGAGTTGAGTGGGTGTTTAAATGAAGCGTCTTCCTCTCCATTGGCTCTGCGTTCAGCCGCCTCTTTTTGCATCTTGCGTTGTTCCTCCCGTCTCAGTCGTTCTTCCGGAGTCAGACCACTCAAATCAGCAGTGCCTCGACGTCGTTTTCGTTTCTTTCCTGATACCGTTTGTGAAGTTCCTGTTGACGCATTGTTGTTGTCGTCGTCGGCTGGAGACTTCGGATCTCCCTTTAATAAAGCTTCTGCCTCTGCTTTTACCTCGGCAAGACAGCTACTTCCTTCTCGTTCCAATCGTCGTGACAGTTTTCGTTTTTGTTTGGAATTCAAGCTCTGCAGGAGATTTTGGACTGTAGACATTTCGTCGTCGTCATCCTCATCCTCAGTTTTCTTGTCATTGGCTTTGTTTTCTGCACTGTCAGAGGTGGTGTCTTCTTGCTTGGCGGCTGGGTTTCCATGGACAATTTGGTTGGCCTCGTCAATGACTTGTTTGACGGCACTAGCTCCATTTTTGGCCAGTGTGCGAGATAACGTTCGTCTCTGTTTGGAGTTGAGTCCCTCAATCAGTGTCGAATCCAAAACAGATTCCAAATCCAAGCCCATGGTTTCATTATTGTCACCTCCATGTCGTGATGCCTCTGCCATTCCTTGGTCCTGCTCGCCTTCTACCTCCTTAACTTCATCGTCATTATTATTCTGATCTTCAGGTGTATTGTCATCCTTCTTGTTTTCATCCTCGGATGAGTCAGAGTTGTCACCACGGCTGCTGCTACTATCGTCCTCATTATCTGAACTGTCGGCTTCGTCCTTGTGTACCTTCTGTTCTGCTTCAACAGCCTTCTTTTGGGATTTTGGTTCTTTAGATTTCTTATCCTCTTTTGCGTCATCAGTACTTTTATCTCCTTCCTCCGTCTTTCGTTTCTGATAGCGCTTCACCATTCGCTTTTCCTTAGCATTCCATCCACTGGGATCTTTCTTCAGCAGCTCTTGGACCGCCGTGTCCGAGGCAAAGACTCTCGTTTCTTCTTGCTGGGGGATATCACCGGTACTCTTCCCCCCTGATTTTTGGGCCTCGTCAACCTTTGCCGACTTTTTGCGTTTGCCAAAGATCTTCATGGTGCTTTCCTTATTGCAATTCAGAAACAATGAGGTTGGACTTGCTAGCTGGCTACCGAGAGCTACGACGTATGATAACTGTGGCGCTTCTGGAGAAATCCAAGGATGAAGCATTTCGGTGGCCCAAAATGCTGCCGACCGGACGAAGGCCAGACACCTAGCTCTGCTGTCTTCTTCCGTGTCCATCAAATAATATTATTATTATCCAGCATCAACCCATCATTTTCGCGGCGTTGTCTCATCAGGGAACTGTCATTTGCTGCTGTTGCTGTCTGGTGAGCTACAGTATTGTTGCAGGTCTGTTGTTGCTGCCTTGAAAGATGAGCCAAGAAGAACGTCGCTGTCTCTCGGATCACTCCCTGGAGGAGCTAGAAGAGTGCGAAAGGGACTTGAAACGACGACGATTGGCAGAAAACAGCAATGCTGAGGCATCCAGTGCCAGCGACCACCAGAGCGCTCTAAGCATTAACACTGCCCGAAAGAGACTCTCTGAATACTTTCTTGTGCCGAAAGATAAGCTTGAAAGTAGAGTTGATGCATTTCAGTCGAATGCTGCCATGTTGCTGCTGCGGCAACATCCGTCATTGGTCGCGGAATCTTTTTTGCGGCAAACCGTGCTTTCCTTTTTCTTGCGAGCTGGTGCTTCTGTTTCCGTCATTCAGGAGCTGTGTGACATGTGGAAATCCATCAATCCTGAATACAATGAGTACATACAATGGGAAAAGGCTGGTTTCCACCGGAGACCAAACCTGGTGGCTGATGCTTGCTTGTACGGCTCAGATCCAAACACTATCAAGGTCCTCGTGAAAGAATTCCCACATCAAATAGCTCAGAAAGGCGATTATTTGCGTCCAATCAAAGTATTTCTGAGTCGATGTGACCGGTACGAGCTGGCTATCGGTATTGCAGATATCTATGAGTGTTTGCCACCGCCGGGGAATCAAGCCGCTATTCAAATCCTTGGATTGTTCGATCCAAACGAGTTTCCGGATTGCAATGAATATGTTGTGCTTGGAAATCCTGGTGAGGAAATCTCAGATTTTCTGGCCAAGACAATCTCAAAAGTGTCGCGTGATGATACAGGTAGTATTGATATTTATGATCACGACGGCATCAAGCGCTGGGACAAAAAGGCCATACAGCGTGCCCAACTATTTCTTCCCCGACTTACCCGTTTTTCACTTTCGGGCATTGGTGACAATACCAACCTGTTCCACTCCACACTGAATATGTTTTGTAAAGCAACACCCTCATTATTGAGACACCTGGAGCTCCCTGTGAATCTTGAATTCATCAACCGAAATGGAAACGATCTATTTGTCAAGGCCATTCAGTCGTGTCCTAACCTCAAGGAGCTGCACTTGGGTACATTGCAAAGAGATCTTAGTTCTACAAGTGTCACTGATGCCCAAGCAATGTGCAAACTTTGCACGGACATTGTTCTCTGGACTAATGATCTTGAATCCTTGGGCTTGACGCTGCTTCCAGATACCGATGGACAGTCACTTGGCAAGCTGCTACGAGCTGTTGCGGTCAGGCTAAAATCATTTCATGTCCGTGGCAGCTTGCGAAACGTTGATGCTTGGGTCCCATTTGAGATTCCACCAAATGTCAGGCTTCAAAGTTTGACCCTTCAAACCACATTGGGTGCGCAGGCCACGAAAGGCATTCTTGGAAACATGCGTGGAGTCGCATCGCTGACTTCCTTGGCGCTGCTTGGCCAACAAGGAGATACAGTTGATGTGAGCAATGAAATTGCTAAAGTCCTAGCTCAGAATCGCATGGAGTCTCTTCAAATTCGTAATTGTGCAGGAGTCAGTCTTCAGGTCCTTGTGGATGCCTTGAAAGAAAACGATTCGTTGATCAACTTCACTCACCGCGAAACGGAACACTCTTTGGGGATTATCAAACACTTTGCCAAAATGATGCAGTGCAACATGACACTCCAACACGTCAACTTGAGCAACTGCTGGGGCGAGCCCCCAAGTGGCCATTTCTATTCTCAAGTCATGTACTTGAAACTGCTCAATAAATGCGGGAGGGGAAAATTGTCCAACCCAAAGGCATCATGTGACGCGTTGGTGGTGGCCTTGGAAGCGGCCGCGGCCATAGCTGACTACCCTGGCGATCCAGACAACCTTTGGTATGGACTCCTTCGAGAGAACCCTGAACTATGGGCACAGGCTGCATTGGGCCCATTTTGAAATGGAGATGCAGGTGTTGTTGCGGCAGTCTTCGGCTGTCGTTCTCTACGAAAAGAAGTATAATGAAAAATTCATACGATTTTAGCAAAAAGTCACTCCTCAATGGGTGGCCGTTCTTAGCATTGGAATCGGTTACCTATAAACCGTCAGTTCCCTCTACAGCTGCCTTGAGATAGTAAGTGTTACCTGCCTGGGATAGCCACGTAACAAAGTACCCTGAGCCACAGGCTGTCTCGATGACAGTTGCTTCCTGCAGTTGACCACTTGGTCCGCAGCTCCCTTGGTAAACTTTTATCCGAGATGCTAAGCTGCCCATGCAAGTAGAAGCCATGAGCCACAGTCCAGATCCCTCTGCTTTGTACCAAATGGACCCACCCAAGCTCAAAACGTCCATGCCTGGATCCTCTAGCAGAAATTCCCCACTAGTGGGATGCATTTCAAGTGCAAGTGATGCACTACACGAACCACCAGGTGTTGGGCTTACAGTGAGCGAGTAGTGATGCTGCAACCCATGGAATGTCGCCTGATTGGTGCCTTTGTCAGAGATATAAATATAGAAGACGGAGCCCTCCTCCGCGTACCAACTGACAGATGAATGTAGACCGCAAAAGTCGTCATGGCTGAAGACCACACATTCTAGATCTTCCATGCAAGGCGTATCGTCCGTGACACCACTGGTAGACCGGTAGACCACAATCTGTGTGTCAAAGTTGAAACTCCCGAAGAACGAAGAGCACGTGTGAGCTCTCATGACGGCCCCAGAGCCTTGGATTGAGTAGAAGGCTCCGCCGTCTTTCAAGGTCTCCACGGTGCCACAGCTTGAGAGCTCCGTAAGATCGAGTCCGGCAGGGCTAATAGATCCTTGCCTATAGGCACCCTCTGATGGCAGCGGTTCGGCAGTGAGCGGTTCGCAGACATTGTGGGCATCGCTTTGGCTTTGAGTTGGAACGATGGATGGTTCAATAACGTCGGGGCTTTCTGTACCGGTATACAGAGATGCGTCGCTCGGGTCAAATGTGGATGCTATCGGGACAAACGGATTACCGTAGTATGCATCCTCGAAATAGAGATTCCCCAGGTCCCCATCAATGGATACTGGGCTTGGACTACTCGTCGTCGTGGGCAGCTTGCTGCTTATTGGCAAGTGTCCTGCTGTTGGGGCTAAGACAGAAGCTAGAATCGTTGAATCCGTAGGGGCGGGCGTTGGTGTGGGTGCGCTTGATTGATAAGTCCAGTCGGTGGACGTTGTTGGAGTGCTGGATGCAACGATCAATGTTGCTTCGACGGAGAATCCACCGGGGAGGTCTGTGCTTCCGGCTATTGATGAAGATATTGAACTCAAAATGGTGGGTGTTGACGAATCGGAAGGCTCAAGACTTGGTGCGTTGCTAGCAACGCTTATTGCTCTGGATGGAAGTATTGAAGGTAGAATAGTTGGCCCTGTAGTTTCAACTGCTGATGGAGGCTGTGACGGATGGCCCGTTGGTCCAAGGCTCGGTGAATGACTGCTCTCTGAAGGTAGAGCAGTGGGAGTTGCTGAAGGTATGTGTGATGGCTGGTACGATGGCTCACGGGCAGTTGGTGCTATGCTTGGTGCCGTTGATGGAGTACGAGATCCCTCCGTGGGCGCCGGAGTCGTCAATAGCACGCTCTCTTCACAAACATGTTCAAACGCTGAACAGACATCTATTCCATTTTGGACATTGAGAGCTCCATTGCACCTCATGAACAGCTCTGTGGCGGTATTCCCACAAGCCGTGTTCGAAGCAAAGCTCATATTGTTGCCACCCGTGAGATCGAGCACGGCCGGTCCAAACGCTGGTGCCGAGTTGTTGGCTAGGTACGAGTTTGACAGCGCGAGCTGGGAATTCTGTCCAGCATAGATTGCTCCGCCCTGTTCAATGAATGTTGTTGGTGTTTACAAGTGAGGCACAGAAGTGAAACCTTGCACATACATGCACACCAGGTGCACTCACTCCCATGTCCAAGCCTCGAGATGTTGCCGAGTTCTCAGTGAAGGCCGAGTTCTGAATCTGGGCATTCCCGAGCAAGTAGATGGCTCCCCCGTTGGTTGCTGCATTGTCGTAGAAAGAGGTCTGGCTGACGGAGATCTGGGATTGCTCGGCAGCATAGATTGCGCCTCCATTTCCATTCAAGTTTTGGTTGCTAAAAGAGAAAGCAATTGGCAGAGTGAATCAGCACGTGAGGTCTATCCCGTGCACTCAATGCTGCATCAGTGATACGATTTCAACTTACGCTTCAAAGTAAGAGTTGAAGGCACTAAACACCCCATTTGGATTGACCTTGACAGCAGTATTGTTCGACCCCCGTAAGACAAAGCTGTCGATCGATAGGGAAGCATTTGTACCAACTTGAAAGTGCGTCCCAGGGCAGTCAATGATGCACCCAGCCTCGTAAGTCTCGACTTCATTTAGCTGCGACGGCCCAACGGCATAGTGTGCTTCACACATAATGTACAGATCGGTTGAGGAGGGCAGACTATACCCTACTGAACTCGCCGACGAGGGGCAGTCTTGGCCACTGATTTCAAACGGACACAGCAACGCAAAGCCACCGGAAGATCCCTCAATGACCTGCAGGAATCCCTCCCAAGTCTGTTCTGGTAGCGAGTCACATAGATATGCATCCAAAGACCAGGGCTTGGAGGCTATCAGAAGGAAGGAAAGGATTCCTACACGCACCAATCGAGTTTGCCGCCGTGGGATACCGGTATAATTATTTCTTCTCATCTTCATCTTGCTCTGTGGCGGAGTGCTTTGGCTTTGGACTTAGCGGTTGGATTGGGCTACTTCCAGGACAGGATGTTTCATCCGAATGAGATTTCTGGATCATTCGTTCGATGTTTCGTAGCTTCCTCACTCCCGGAGGTTGTGGGTCCGGGTCGTTCCTACAAAATCAAATTTTGCTTTCTGTGCTACGAGTGTACGGTAGCATGGAAAGCAGGTAGGATACGTGCTGGCACACGGAAGGATTCAGAGTCAATCCTCTGTTGTTTGTAGGCTTTCACACATCCTTGTGTTACGTTTTGTCCTTACTCGTTTCTGCCCCCTTTATCGGATGCCGAGTTCTGCTTGCTTGAATGTGGATGGCGTTGGTGTTCCGAGTGCTCAAAAATATTGGATATCTTTTGTTCCCAGCCAAAGAGGCACCGTATTAACAGCTTTGCTGTGTTTAATTCAAAGCAACCAGTGCATGACGCTCGCGATCTCCATTTTTTCGCCCACAGCACCTCCGAGACTTCTACGAGAACTCAGTCCGCTCCAACTTTGTTGTTGTTGGTGCTACTATATATTTATTGTATTGAATTGAATTGAAGATGCCGGGCATTGCGATCATTGGCGACAGCCGCAATGCGACCAGGAACAGACCGACGAGCTTGCCTGCCGAAGCCCGTAGTCTGTCTCGGCTGCTGCGGCTGCTCGAGTCTCCAGCGACAGCGTCCTCCGCGCTGCTGGAATCTCTGCAGAGCTTTCCCCATTTGGAGGATCCCAAGCAACGCGCCGCAGTTGTCCGCGTCAAGGATCAGGTGTCCGGTTTGATCCAAGACATGACAGAGGCTGGTTGGATAACTTTTGCCGATCGATATCCCGAGTACAACATGGCGGTTGCAGTAGAGTCGGTGCTCCAGAATCCATCCTCCTTCTGCTCCATTCCCACCGAACAACCGCGACAACTCACACCGCGCAAAAAGGCAAAAGCAACTACACCATCCACCCTTGAAGAGAAAAGCCTTTCGGATGGATCTAGTGTCATTCCAGTCAACAACAACATCAACAACAACCCAAACAACAAGCTGCGAAAGATGACACCCAAACAAACCGGAACAACACAGACCAGCCCTGCTGCTGCTTCGGTGGCCGTTGTGAGTGACACCAGCTCTGCGGACGAAGACGAAAATTCCAGCACAGACGAAGAGAGACGACAAGCTACAATGACCGCCACCGAACAAACGCAACAACAAGAGCAGCAACTGGTCGAAATAGGGGACTTTCCACACATGCCTGCGAGGGACATTTGGGCGGTGCTTCTGGAATCCACGCACCTGCAGGTTGCCTCGAGAACCACCAAAGTGTGGGGGAGGAAGAAAATTTACGAAGTATACCAACTGGCAAACCCTGTGCAGGATTTTGCCGCAGACCAAGAGGGCATTCTTCGGTGCCGCTTGGAAGCAGAAGCTCGATCCCTGTTCGAAGGCGTCATCCCGGGGTTGTCCGATGCCAACCATATTCGAGTCTATACAACTCTACAGCCACTGGCTGGATTGAACATTTCACGGGCACTCTACGTGCAAATCAACTTGCACAAACTCTACGACCTGCAGGATGAAACCAATCGAGCCGTTTCGGGAGAAAAGAAAAAGAAGGCCGAAAAGGAATTTGTCGCTGTCCTCATTCCTGGATCTCCGTTTTTTGCCTTGACGGCTAGCCGGGCACCATCGCGGTCTCGATACACTCCGTATGCGTTCGCTGTCTTGGAACGTGTCCTGACGGAAACTACTGCCAAAACATTCGCGGCCGCTTCCAAACGCAAAACGGACAGTGATAACCAAGGTATGTTTTCTGTTTCTCTCGTCTTGTGTGAAATATTTCTCTTGTCTCGTGCAATCTGTTACATGGACTCATGATGCTTCATTCGATTCAACTATTTTAAAATACCGTAGATGTCTCGGTCAAGCGCTTTGGCGATTTGTCAGGAACAGAGCCGGAGGAGCTCTTGCGTGCCGCCAGGTCTATTGTCGACGGAGAAGCTACAGGGAGATTTGTCTTTATGGCTGCCAAGGATCAATCAAACCCAATCGACGATCTGCACACGGCAACAACCAGCAATCTCTTGTTGCGACCAGAAAATACTAGTAATCTAGAGGACACACGACAAATAATCAAAGGAGCACGTGTGGTGGCAGCCAACGGCGACAATCTGTGGGTAGACCACTCTGTCAAGGAAAAACAATCCAGAAAACGGGCCCGTGAAATGGCACTCGGTGGACGTGACGATTGTCCCAAACTAGGTCGCATTTGCTGGAGGTGGTCCGGTGAAACTACTGCCACATCGACCTGTTGGCGACACGGCAACAACAACAACAAAGAACTCACTGCAGCCGAACAGGAATACTTGCCAAAAACAGAGTTCAAGTGTGCCGTAGTGATGAAAGGTGACAATGTGCTTGGAGGGATACAAGCATTGATTGATAGCGGGCTTATGGAAGCACCACTTCCGGATTTCATTCGAGAGGCCCCGTCCTCCGGTGGGACTATTCGAGTGATTCATGGATCGTCGTTTGCTAAAACAGACGCACCGTTTGAGGAAGTTTGAGAGACCACATCACATGGCTGTGAACTTATTTGATATAGGGCTACTGTAATTTATGAAATTTGAGAGTAGATGTAGTAACACGCACTAGTCTACATGTATGAAATAGGAAAATTGTGCTTTCTACTGTCTAGTATAATGCTATTTTTGTAGCGACTTTGGTTTCCTTGGGCTTCTCGTGCGTCTTCCTGTTAGTCTAGTCAATGATCCAGCTCGACGACGTGTCTGTGGGTCCCTCTTGGGTATCGGAAGGGATACAGATGAACTTCCATCTCCTATTGCCACCACTGGGTCGTCAGACTGTGAAGGATCTTCAATGGCTGGTTGTTTCCCGAGGGAAAGAGATAGCTTAGTCGCCCAATCCCCTGGCATGTTACCACCTAGCTCCATTACTCCACTCTGATTCTTGGCCACTTTGACGTACTGTTTGTTTGTTTGTTTGTTTGTTTGCAGAGAGGGTAGGTTAGAATTTCAGTTTCAGAATGTTCATTGCCGCAGTAGACTCGAAGATCGACTCACCTCATCTGCTTGATAATGTAGCTTTTCCCTCTGTTCTGCCGTCAAGTCTCTCAACTTTTTTGCTGGCACTCCAGCCCATAGCTCTCCTGCTTTGACCACGGTCTTTGCAGGTAAAACAGCTCCGGCAGCAATAAAGGACTCTGATTCAATTTCGCATCCCTCCTGAATGACACTTCCCATACCAATCAGACAATGATCTTCAATTTTTGCCGAATGTATTTGTGCCAAATGTCCAATGGTTACTCCATCACCGATGATTGTGTGACCTACTCGAGAGGTAATAATGGCACCATCCTGCACATTGGTATTGTCTCCAATAAAGATTCCACCTCCAATTTTATCTCCATCTTTGATCCGATAATCAGTGAAACGGTTGACGTCCAACTCCCACACCTTGGCTTCTTCCTCTGGTGACTTTGCAAAGCTGGAACCATTGCTGCATTCATCGGCTCTCAGGACTGCCTTGTACCACACGGAAGATCCAGCTCCGATCCGAACACTGCCAATCATGGTGCTGCAAGGAGCCAAGTAGGCCACATCAGGAGATATCAGAGGACGACCATACTTCAAAAGAGGCATTTGTTGGCGGTGGCGTGACATGAAATCATCGTAGATAAATGGATCGTCGTCGCCGTATCGTCGATCTTGGAGAAAGAGCTCTTGCGTCCGAATGCCCAACCGGTCCATGGCTTGACCAGTTTCGCGAAGGGCTCGGCCAAAAGTATGCCGAAATCGCATCCACGCTGTCGGAGGGCCCATCTTGATATGTGAATCAATCTACTGATCTATGGTACGGTAGGCTATAGCTTATAGCTTCGATGGCTCCAATGGAGGCGATATCTGATTCTGTCTTTGTGTCGATTGTAACAGATCTTCGTTTGTGGGAGTGTGATCGAAGAGACATGGTGAGGCGTATTGGACCTTGCAACTCAACAGGGTTAAAGCTTTTTAAAAAAGCCAGCAAGCGTTGCTGGCAAATGGATGAAGTCAGTGTTCGATGGGTTGTCTACCGTACCGGTACTACCGCTACCGGTACCAGGCAGTGGTACAGTCGTACTAGTACCGTACTACGGGCGAAGACGACCACCAGCAAGCTAGTCTAGCCAGCTATATACTAGTAGTTGGATTCGATTCGTCTGGCAACAGCTCCTTTGGGTGGGTCATGTCTGCAGTTTATTATCGTACTGCACGTTGCTCTTGGTATTTTGTCTTCTTCAGCATGTTGCCTTTCCTCCGTCCTTTTCACCCTTGCCCAGTACCTCGCATTGTGGATCCAGCTTCCGCCTGTTGACCAAGTTCTTGCTTTGTGGCGGTGAACCACCCATGCCACCGGTACCGGTAGTGCCCGAGATAAAGTCGAGAAGGAAAGTCAACTAACTTATAATAGCAGCATTGAAGTCTACATGTATGTATGCATTTTGCATTGGCACCTAAAGTTGTACTTCATTTGGAGATAATCCAATCGGTCTTCTTCCTTTTCACCAGGAATGTAATCAATAAGCAGTTCTTGTCCAGAAGCAATGTCGCATCGCGCCAACACAAAAGCTCTATCCTTCTCATCACAAATCTTGATCACATTGGCAGCGTCCCCACAGGCGTGATTGATCCTCGAAAGGTCTTTGAAAATCAGCATTGTAGTTTCATGGTTGTCAACAAATGCGTTTGTCCTCAAGATCCCACCCAACGTCTTGAGATTCTCCCTTTTGATAGATTTTTTGTTGGATTTTGTGCCTTTGCTATTATTAGTGGACAATTCCACTGCCAGGCGGTGTTTGTCTTTTTCGTCAATCCCAACCACTTGCCCCTCCAATCCATTCAATTTCTGGCCAGCATCCGACTTGAGTCCGTCAATCATAACTCGATCCCCTTTTTCAGCACAACGGTGGGAATCTGCCAGCTTCCAAATGGCACCAAGGTCAGGTGATTTCAAGACAAATTCCTTGGTTTGCAATTCGGTCAGCCTGTCGAGGGCGTGTCGCACCTCTGGTGGATATCTACTGGTTCCCGTCAAATGCCCATGGGTTCTTGCGCAGCGCTGCATTGTTTCCAATAGGGGAGCAACTTCGCGCTGCTGGAGCAAGGCAGGTGTTGGCTCTGACGGCTGTTTCCCCAGAGGGCGCTCTATCAATATCACCTCCCCGGTCTGAATTTCCCTTGTTGCTACCAAGAAGGCCCCTCTTTCGTTGCTCTGCTGAAGCTTGTAGTAGCAGCCGTCGCCCCTCGAATTGTAGAGAGCCTCAAGCTTCGGAAGTGCAGATTTGATTTTCTCCATGGCTTGCGAAAGAGTATCAGTGACGAGGACTTTGCTTGCACTCCTCGATTGTTCGATTGTTGAAGGAGGAGTCACTTTATTGGCAGCAGCAACTTCGAATAACAGTAATAGTAATGGCTTTTGATTCTGATACTGACAGGAATGACCATACCACGATGACAGCACCGCTTCCCGTCTGCTCAGCGAAGTTAAGCATCGTCCGGCCTAGTTAGTACTACGGTGGGGGACCACGTTGGAATCCTAGGTGTTGTTCTTATGTTGCTGTTGACACCCAGTCTTTTGACTGCTTGTCACTGTTCTGAGATGGAGGGCTTGGGAGTTCGAGGACTTGAACTGGTCATGAGCCAAAAATGGTTCGGTCCCAGTTGTTGGTTACGGTAGACTGCACTACACACGCCGTGATGTTGCCTTCCATGTCTTGGACGAAGCAGGGGCTCTTCTTGTTGACATTGGCGTTGTTGGCTTGGTGTTGGTCGTGGTAGCCTCCGTGCTCGGTGGCGACGTTGCGGCAGCGGTCTTTGTTGGCTGCTTTGAAGTGGCGCCACCGCACTCATTTCCTCAAGCGGAGCTCTGGTAGTCTCGTCGGTTTTTAAAACTTTAGCTACACCGCAGAGTGCTTCGTACCGTACCGTATGGGACGAGCCATGATCATATCTTTGAAGAATGCACCACTGCAAACATCATTATTCGTTTGATGGCATAATTAGACCGGTATGCATAGCAGGAGTTACAGTGTACTGAGAAACAGACGGGAAGAGTCAAGTGGTGCTAGTGTGAATTCTATTTACTTTTCGTGAAAATTGACTTTCCGAGGTGGTTTTAATTAAAACTTGATTTCCATTTTTGTAATTCCGTTGAATGATTAATCACTTTCGGAAAATTCGAAAAAGGAAAAAGAACGGCACACAACCTCTGGCTGCAAAAGTCGCAAGTGGGGACCACTGAAAGGGTCAACAGCAAGAAAGGAATTGACCATTATCCAATCATCAGCGTTAGTCATACTGTAGCACTCTATGGCACAACCAATGCTGGTGCTGCCATGGTCAAGTCTTTCTGGTTGCGAATTCGATGGCCCCTCACCTACGAACTCTTGCAAGATACCAATCGCACCTGGGTACCACGGGCAACCCCAAAACTGTCTCCCTGGCCCACTCACACTAATGGCAGCATCGCTGCTCTGAAACAAACTCAGGACGTAGGCAGCAACACACACAGCAACAACACAAAGCATCATGTCCAATGATGGAAACAATGATGACTCGGGACTTCCATGGATTGTCGAAGCAATCAGGGGGCCAGTGAAGCTGGCCGCCTGGGATCGATTGACGGATAAATATATGCTATTTGTTCAAACAACTGCAGCTGTTTTGGGCTTGGTGGGAGCTGGAGTAGCAATCGGCAGAGCCTCTGCTCCTCTAAGAAAAGAAGTCTCGATTTGGCGTCGCATGCGAAGAGAAGTCAGCTTGGATCACTTGGTCTTTCCCCGGCATATCCGTATCAATACGTGTCCTTACCGATACCCACTGCCACATCGGAGGGCACTGATTTTGCAAGGGCCGGCAAGATCAGGAACCACTTCCCTTCTTTTCAAGCAGATACCCTTCTTTCGAGCCCTGTCCTTCAATCCTTTTCGCTGGGACTGCCACTATCTAGATGGCAAGCATGCCAAGAATCGAAACAGCTTCGAAGATTGGCTTACGGGGGAGCTTTTTGGGTCTACATCCAATGTTCAGACTGAGTTGGAACGAGGCATTTCTCTTTACCGAATGCAACAGCCCATCCGAACAATGCTCGAAAAACTAGGTTTGCCAATTGGGCCCAAGCCGCTCTTTATATTGGTGGATCATTTTGAAACACCACTCCGACAATTTCCAGACAAAGCACTGGCATGGGCTGATTCCCTCACAAATTTGCACGTACACAAGAATCTGGCCAGGGTTATTTTCGTGGTGAGATCATCCAAAGCTGTAGCCTCGCTGCAAAATTTGAGTGGAGAGAATCGATTCAGTCTCCTTACAATCGATTCCCCACCCGAAAGTGCAGTACCAGATCGGTGTTTCCTCGATTTTCGTTACTGGTACAACAACAAATCCTTCAGTTACTTGGTCCCCTACGATTCGGGCATGAGACAGAGCATTGAGGAGAACAGGGCACTTTATCAGCAATGTGAAAACAATGTGGGCATCTACCAAGCCGTCCAGGTTGCCGTGGCCCTGGGGGAAGTAGCAAAAGAGGATATCCATAGCTATATCGAGCAAATGCGTTCCCATTTTGAAAGACACGACAACCTACCCCTCCCGTTCTGTAGACACGTTAGCTGGGCAACGGTTCCCGTACCAATCGTTCGGCATGAGCTTCGCTGTGGTGTCATTCGAGTCTTAGTGCAGACCGGCGGCAGCATTGACAGAAACAGAGACGACATTGAAGCTATCCTGTCCGTTTTAGACATTGCCATCGAGCGCTTGAATATTGTCATGCTGACAGAGATGTCAATGCATGCATGGGTTGAACTCCTGACTAATGACTTCGACTCCAGCCGGGGCTTGACACGTGTTCAAGCGACCTCTGCCGCGCTGGGGATATTCTTTACTTTGGGGCACCCTTGCCCAGCTGCGAACGTGTCCAACATTTTGTCTCCAGACCCGCTAAAAGAGCTCAGCGAGAAGGGAACGGACCGCCAGGATTAGGTCACTTTTTCCGAGGAGCTGTGCTTGATGCCGAGTTGATGTGAACCAGCGGAAATTAGAATGACCATCGTGATCGAGGAAACTCCGAAACACCCTACTGAGCACAGAAAACACCTGATACCATACCGGTACGGCGGCTTTTAGACTACTGAACTAGAACTGTATGAATACTACCTTTCCTCAAACCCCAACGTTCTAGCTAGCGATAGTATCTAGCTTGTGTCGAGTACTTCTCTTCGTCTCTCGTCCTAATGCGCCTCTGCGATTCTGTGGTTTTATCTTTTTGCGGTGGTGCGTCGCGCTGTGATTCCTGTCGCCTCGAGGTACCGGTAGCATATCTTTGTGATTCGGAGCCCCGTTCCTTCTCCCGCTGCCTCGGACGTATTTGTTGGGACTCGTAAGCATACCCATTGTTCTCTTTGCCACGCGTTGTTGTCCTGGAACTTCTGCTGGATCCATGTCTGCTATTACTATTTGAGCGCAACGAGGATCGGTGAGAGCTTGAATCGTGCAGACTGCTCTTGGTGTGAGCATGAGCAGATGTTTGGCGTTCTGCCCTGTATTTTTCGATCTTCTCTTTGTAGCGGGTAAGTTTCTGTTCCAGCGCTTTAGTGTCATTTTGAAGCTGCTCTTTTTCCTTCGCCATACGCTGCTCTGTCTCCTTCTTTTGAATCCGTTCCTCGTCGAGCTGTTTTGACAGTTCGTCTCTGGCAATCCGGCGATCTTCTGCCTGCCCTTCTAACACTTCGTACATCTCACATAGCTTGACGAGATCAGAAAACACGTTGTCGAGATTTGTTTCCAACTTGTCTCGAGCTTTGTTCAGATTGCCAATCGTTTCGTCCCTGTTGGATAGCAGCTCTTGCAAGGTCCCCTGGTCTTTCTCCAAGTTTGTCTGAGCATTCTAGATATGAGACTACTACGATGTACAGTCCAGTATCAAGCAAGTGTTTGGTGCCCCTTTCTGGCGTACTTACCAGCCTTTCCTTCATTCCGCGGACGGCTGCATCGCGCTCTGCTGCTTGTCGCTTCAGCTCCGCAGACTCTTTCCTCAAGGTATTCATTTGCTCGATTGTAGTGTGAAGCTCCTCTCGTGTTTTAGCTTCGGCCTCACACGAAGCTTTAGCAGCTCGGTCAGCCTCCCTCGCTCGATCTTGCGTGTCCTGTAGTTCCCTCGACATCGCGGTAACCCGTCGTTCCGCAATTTTTCTCTCGGTATCAAATTGGCCAATTTTGGACTCGGCTGCAAGCTGCTCCGATTTCTTCATCCGTTGCGCCTCCTTCCAGAAACGGACGGCCTGGTTGTCCATCTTTCTTTTGATCTCTTCTTTCTCCTTGCAAAGTTGAGTCTCTCTTTGAGTAGATTCTTGGAGTTTACTCTCGACGGAATTGATCTTTTCTTGCAATCGCTCTATTTCCCTCTCCTTGCACTGGTCCGATGCTAACAAATTGCTAGCCAGGAACTCCTCGTTCTCTGCAGTGGCCATGGCTGTAAGCAACCGGAGGTACCGTCTCCTGCTTTCCATTGAATCCATGGAAAGGTTTTCGAAGGAGGCGGATTCTCCACCCATGCTTTTGGTTGGTCCAAGAGTTGCAAAAAAGTCCGGGACTGCTTTCCGTATCCGGTTTTGGACGAGTCGAAGCCCAATTTCACCCCCCTTTTGGAGCTGATTATCAATTTCAAAGAATCCAAAGCGAGACAGAATTGTTGCTGCTGCCATACGAATGAAATGGTCGTTGCAGGTGGACGCGGGCTCCTCCTCCTCCTTTTCGATACAGATACTTCTTTCGTCGAGGCGGGACAAGTTGTTGGCTGGCGGGGTATCAGTCTCGGAGTCCTCCATTATCGTTGTATCATTGGAGGTATCCAAGAAAGCGCCCGCTTGGTCAATCCGAATCTCCTTGGGAGTCATGAGACTGATAAAAACCTCGGTCAACTCAGAATCAACAAGGTGGATTGCCTCTCCAATTCGCTCGGCCAGCGAAAGCATCAAATCAACGACATCGAGGAGAATCAAAAGAAGTGGGCGGAATAGATGAGTTTGGCTTCCCTGTCGTTTCACAAGTTTCACAACCCCCATCAGGAAGGCATCCACGGTTTTACGATCGATTGCTCTCTCCACCACGTCTTGATGCAGGAGCAAGCTGCCTCGTTCACTCAGAAGCGCTTTCGTAAACGAAGCTGCACAAAGTGCAATAGAGTTATCGGGCTGTAACGGAGAGAACAACGGAGACAAAACAAAGTTAAAATAACGTAAGAATAACGAACGTTGTCATACAAGAAATCCAATGGTTTGTGCTCATGCCCTGGCTACTCACGTGAAAACTCAGGTGCTGTAGTGTTTTGACGAGACGTTGACATGGCTGTACCAGATATGAAACAGATGTCTCATCGGACTTTGCGTGTTGTGCCATTGAAGAGAACAGTGAATTGCGCAGGGACGAGTGGTGGACCGAGTACAGTAGAACCAATCTGGATAGTAAAGAAGCACAATGCTTGTGTTTTCGTGCGACTTCGTCGGGATTGCAGTAGTCTTCCGTCAAAAACGAGGTCCAGCCTTGCTCCACATGAGGTTTCCAATGTCGCTCTAATGCATCAAATGCCAATTGTCGTGTCGACGAATCCTTGCATTGGCTCCAAACTACGATGAAATCTTCCATCCATCGACCTGTCGCGTCATCCTTGTGCTCGTATGTCCATCGCGGTCCAGAGGGACTCGATGCTCCAAGGACCCCAAAGTATGCTTGAAAGACACTATCCAGTAGTTTTGTGGAATAGAAAAGTTGATTGAGTTGGTTTGAAATGTCAAGAGTGACTTTGTGATCCATGAGTACGAGCAGTGCCACTGACGCAAACGAGGCGTGTAGAGTATAGCGAGACGTCAAGCTTTGGTTGTTGAGTTGATGCATTGCTCCCAAAAGAGTCTGAGATAGATGGGATAGAGTGTCTTGGTCCTGCAGCGCCAAATGATGCAGCCAGGACGTCTTGTCATGCTTCAAAAGACAAATGAGGACCGAAATGTAGGCAGTCTTCAAGAGCTCCCCCCGTGGATAGATATGGGAGCTCGAGAAGTCTAGATCTTTATCGTCGCTAGAAGTGTGCATAGCATATTGTGAGGAGAAAACAGCCGACGACATAAAAAAGCTCCAGCGTGCCATTGCGCAACTTACCTCAAAAGACCTTTGACAGCCACAGTGGCCAACTTTTCCTCATTCGAAGCAGGAATCCACCATACTGCTTCAATGGAATGGCTTGGGAAGGTATTGTTGTAGCATTTCCAAGAAATGAGTCGCTGAATTCGATCCAGATTCTGCCAAATGATAGAGAGGCAAACCATTGCTACATTGCGAATGGCGCGATCGTTTCCTTTCCAATCCTCATAGACCACTAGATTGTGAAGCGTTTGCAAGAGGGACATGCGAAACGATTGCTGCAGATTGTTGTCCATTCGGATCTCCATCACTTTGGTGGAAGCGGTATAAATGATGGATTCATCACTCTGCGACCATTGGTCCAAGCATCGAGCCAAGAAGGAGAGAGTGGCTGGATAGCCTTGCGGGTTCTGGCCCGATGTGTCAATGTTCACAAGGCAACCAAATGTTCGAATAACAAACGTTGCAAGCCCTTCTGCTGTTGATAGCGACCACAGTGAACCATCATTTTCGCATCGACTCTGCAAATCACACAACTGCTCTACAGTTTGCGTCGACGGCACACAGCTGGACCTTGCCAATGCTTCGAGTTTTTGTTGGAACTTTTGTTGCGCCGACGATTGCTGTGACGACAGCGATCCTCTCCGTTGCGAATAAGGATTGCTGTACGGATTGGTATAAGGAAAGGCTGTTGTGGTTGTCATGAGGGTTGGCATTGCCTGGTTCCTTCCTTCATGGAGCAAAGCAATCAACAGACAGTGAAGAAGGTTGGCAAAAAGTGAACGTTGGTTTGAGCTTTGAACCAGGGCCAACTGGTCGACCCGTGTTTACCCTAATATTAAGATACCTCTATGGCAAATCTCACGCTAACTCTGCTCGACGTGAAAAAAGTACGAGAATATATCTTAGATTCAAGGGAGGAGTGTCCTCGCACTGCTTTAAATCCACTCAGTCATGCAAAAAATATCTTTGCCCGTCGTGCCTTCGGTTTGGCATTGGTGATTTGTCTTGGTCGCTCGACCTGTTGTTGTTGAGCTGTCGTCGATGCATTCCTTGTTCTCACAACAAAGATTACGTCTGCTAGCTAGATCTAGTTGATAGATTTAGTGAACTGAAGATGCCAGATTCAATCGAAACCCTTATTGAAGAGGGAGCATGGGGGGAGGTGAGAAAGAGGATTAAGAGACTAAAGAACGAGACAAGGATTGGAATGGTCATCATCGAGTGCGGTACCCGAGATACCCCGAAAGATATTATCGAAGAACTCCTTTCAAAGACACAAACACTGCGTTCTCTACCTTCCCGGTACGACGCACTCCACACAAACTCGGAAATGTTTGGTGAATACTTCTGGTCTGTTGTTTGCGGCTTCTACATTTCAATCTCGAAGATAAGCGGTGACGCGGTGGACTTTGACTTGCTCTGTCAAGCGCACGCAGCTCCCATTCTGCCAATTTTGAGGACTTATCTAGACAGGACAGGAGAACCAATTAACGAAGACATGGTCTGCAAAGGGTTGACTTTCGCATGGCAACGCTTTGACTGGAGGAGCTGGAAAGTGGATGAACTGTTCTCGATTCATTCCTTGGACGACCTCCGGAAACTATGCGAAAACAAGGATGCAAGCGAAGACCTGCTCAGATTATGGTTTAGAACGATACGTCTAATCAGAGCATCTCAAGAAAATGGCTTGGTCAAGCCCATCGAAGAACTGAACCTGTTTCACGTCTTCATTAGGAAAGGTCTCCCTAAGGTCTGCATTTGGTTGGCCCTACGACTGTTGCCGACATCATATCTCTCGCATCGCGATAGCCACGGACGGCTGCCATTGCACTTGGCGGTGATGTTCTATGAATTAGAACTTTTGTCAGGTATCCAGTTGGAAGGACGTTGGTTGTCGCGACGTGAGTGTTCGCCAATTGTCTTCCCAGAGTGCTCTAGGGCCGCTCTTGATAAATCTACCGTGATTGAGATGTTGCTAGAGGCCTATCCTCAGGGTGCCTACGAGCCTGACCTGGAAGGTAATCTTCCTCTTCCTTTGCTCTTACAACAAGAACCAGGCGAGTCTCAGCACCTGCTCCACGAAATTGGTGGGCAAATCTTCGCGCACCAGTACTTCCACATCAAGGACAGTATGGTAAAGGACCACATGTTGCGAAGCATTGAGGCTTTTGTGAAGCACGCACCTGAGGCATTGGCTTTACCAAGCAAAACTAAAGTATATCCGGAATACATCACAACGCTCCCTTTCATGGTTGCTGCTTCCTCCAATTGCTGGTTAGATGTCACATTTTCTATTCTCAGAGAGAATCCTTCGGTTGTCGCTTGTGGTATCAAGGCCAGTGACCGCGAAATTTGGCTTACCGACAAACTGAACAAGGCGCAGACGCACATCCAAAAGCTCGAAGATGAGGTTGAGCAGCTGAGAGCTTTGCTGGCTCAGAAGCAAGAGCACGGCACAGAAATTGCGCCTCCATCCCATGTCGGTTCTATCCAAATCTTCAGAAACCTGCCTCTGCTCCAGTTCCCATCTCCAAAGCGTCGCAAGGTTGAGGATGCTGAAGATCCATCCAAAACAGACAGATGCCAAACACCCAAAGATGGAGCAGGAGCAGAAAGAATCGGATCTTATGAGACCAATGCCACGAACAGTGCTGACTCGTCTCATGACAGTGGTGATGAAGTCGTCCAATCCATCCAAGAAGAGAATGCCTGGAAAGGAAACAACGCAGCTGCGAATGCTTGCTAGCTAGTAGTGTTCCAGAATCATTTTCACCTTCGAAAGGTTGAACGTTTCACAACCAAGAGTGGCGTTCTGTATCGCTGTGCATGGAAATATCACTTAATGTCTTGTGTCACCTCTCCTCGACAGTTCACGTTTTCAATGACACGCAAACTACATTACTAAGGTAGACCTCGGTTTCGCTGTTTGCCGGCGCTGTAATAGCTACCAGAGGGCCCAGTGTCAGATAGATAAACCGCGGAAGTCAGGCAATCTCATCTAGAGTCGTCAGGCACGACTGGCGATGCCCAACCTAGCTACCATACTGTACTACAGGTACACTCTAGAGGTCTCTAGAGTTGTAATAGTATATTCCGGTAGGGCAAGTCAGAAAGGGCAATGTGGCAGCATTAGAATTGATTGATAGCACACACCGTGAAATCATTGTTCATCTGGCACAGCAAGAATCGGTGCTGTTGTGCTTTGATCCTCATCGTTCGTAGCAGCAGATTGTATTCTGTGCTCCTCATTTTCAACAGGGAGTTTCGCCTTTGTGGTTTCCTCTACTCTCCTGGCCAATGGCCCAAGGTAATATTGATGTAGCAACACGCACAGCAGCCTGATACCATTGAAGACGCCGAAACCCATCCATATCCCTGTCAGTCCAAAACGTGGTGCCAAGGACCTCATTGCGCCAACACATCCCACTGACGCAATTGCAGTGCTCAGAGACAAGAAAAGGAAGCTTCCTGTGCCAACCATGACACCTTCGCCAATAAACACGCTGCCGTTGATAATCTGGAACACACTTGCAAAGTATGCTGGTAGCCGGGCTGCATCACGCACTTCTTGCAGAGGTGTTGATTTCATGATGAGCGGCATCAGGACAATCTGCAGTGAACCAAGAGCAGCTCCCAGAATCACACCCCAGCTCATGAGACGGTTCACAGTTGCTCTGGCATGCTCCAATCCTCCAACGGTCCTCTGTAGATTGTCGTCATATGTTTCCACCAAAGCCGCTGGGACTACCGTTTGCGCCACGACGGATAGAGCAAGGAGCACGATTCCTCCCACCTGAAAGGTCTGTAACGCCATTGCATGAGCTGCCGGAGCAACCCCGTCGCTGTCAATTGCTTGTGTCATTCTAGTGACCGATATAAACGTAAGATTGAACGCGACGTTTCGCAGCTGAAGAGCCAAGCCACCTTTCATCAGATCTCTGATCTTGCTGAACTCTGGTATTTGAAAGATTTTGCTCATGTTAATGAGCTTCTTTCGAGTCATTAAAACAAGGTAGGTAAAAGCGGAAATGGTTTCTGCGATGAGCGTTGCCAGTGCAGCCCCAGAAACTCCCATGGAGAAGGGCTTGAAGATGAACATGGGCACGAGAAGTGCGTGAAAGATGTTTGCAAAGAAGCTTATCCGAACGGGAGTTGCCGTGTCCATTTGGCCTGTCGAGTTGGTACGACGTTGATTGTGTGAATCGAATCATTCCGATGATGGTTGAGTTTACACAAAGAAAAGAGAATGTAAAGACGGTATCGAAGCTGATGGCAACATGACTCCTCACTTACCTCGAAAGGCAGAGAACCCCACAATTGATATGAGCGATGGGAGGAAGGATATCGCGCGAATCTTGAGATATGGCCTGGCAAATTCAAGCGCGGGAGCTCCGCCTTGCAAGAGAGAACAATGACGGAACAAGAAAGAGAGCACGGCGATGGCACATGTGTGAGTGAATCAAGGTACTGTAGAGAGGATTATATGCAGTGTCACGCGATAGAAGATCGACCTACTCTTGAGAACGGAGCTGAGAGCCTTCTCAGTACATGTCAGCAAGAAACCACTTCCAAGAAATGCAAAGATGATTCCCACAAAAAGTGCGCGACACACAGCCTCTTGAACTCCTTCTTCATTTCCCTGTGCGCTCTCCCTTGAGACTTCAATGGCAGTGACTTTGGGGTGGCAATCAAAGAAAAAGTTATGAGTGAGTTAGGATTATCCTTGCGTCATTGTCAATCAGTAAATGATTGACTCATTCAATCCAATCACTTACTACTTGGTAGGAAGGAGGTCAGCCAAAATACAGAACCAAAAACTTGGTTGCTAGCCGCCTGTCCCGCCACAGCCAGAGCATTCCCCAACCTGTTGATAAAGAAGAGGTCAATGGCTCCAACCAGGGGTGATATGGCAAAGTTGGCAATGACAGGCAGGGATATCTTAATAAGTTGCTTGTCCAGCTCATCCATGCATGGCCAGGGACCGGGTTCTTCCACTACTTGTGCTGGGGAAGTGCTACCTGCCCATTCTTGAGCCGTTCCGTGTATTGTCGATTTCTCCAGGGGAGTCTCACTGCTGCTCAGCAATTGTGTCGTGTTGGCTAGACCAGCATTTTCTGTGATATTTGCCTCCGCGCTGCCTCCAGTAACACTTGGACCAAACGAACTTGTCAGGCGATGTGCCTGTGCATTTGTGCTTGGGACGGGGTTCAGAGCACTTTTCTTGATAAACCCAGGTACCGCATGCACCGTGTGAAAGCTGGCAACCGTCGCCACCAGGAGAAGAAATAGCTGTTGCCTCGAGGACCTTGTGTTTCTTCCAGTGTTCTGCTGTTTCGTGCTCATGGTGTTCTTCAGTGTACCGGTACAGGCAGCATCTGGTTCCAAACTCGAAAGGGCAGGACAATAATAAGATCAGAGTAGATTATTCTACCCTTGCAAACAATATGATGCAGTCTTGTGCTTGTGGATCTGTTCGACAGCTCATCCTCATTTGTTGCTTCTTGCTTCTGATCGCGATGTGTCAGTTTTCGGTCAGACTGTGAATTCTGCCCTCATTTATTTTTGATTTTTGTTCACGTCATCAAGCCATCTGAGCTACAAAAGAGCACTCGGCCCCAATTGCAAATCAAGCCTGGTCAAATTCATACTTTTTGCCCTCTTGATGAACTGATGAACTGACGAACTGACGTAAGCCACTTCAACTGCCAATACTGACACCTTTTTGCATCCTCTCCCATCCACGGCCCATGGCCTGAAGTGGGAAGAATCGAATCAGATTGGATCTGGACTGAGTCAATGAAGCTACAGATACAGTAAACTTTGAATCGCTGTCTTGCTAGCTACTACTAGTAGATTGTTGGCTAGATGTCTCGCTGATCCATCACATTGCTTTGATCGATAGAGAGCTATTAAAATACAAGACTCTCAGCTATACAGTATACTATAGTATCCATCCATCACCTTGCCTCCGAGTGGTTCGTTCAGTCAAAGGTCAAGATGACGAGACAAAGTTTGCCTCAGTGTTCCAGTGTGCTTGGGGTACGGTCGGCACTGATCTTTCTCCTATTTGCAAGCTTCTCTGAGAATACCCCAACATCAGCTTTTACAACGGCCAGATCAAGAATACGGCGCAGACAATCACTAGTAGCAGCACCAACGTTAGCTCTTCAAAGAAGATCACACAGTCTCAATTTTCCAACACCACGGAAACGACAACCATGGGTAGTTCTAAGAGAGTCCAAAGACGTTTCAGAGGGTCTATCATCAGAAAATCATCCACCTCAAGAAGACGAACAAGTTCCGGGTATCTGGCCGTGTTTTGATGAGTTAGATTCCAAATTGATCAAGATTGCTGTCCCTGTGATTGCCAACTTTGCCATCAATCCACTCATCGGAGCTGTGGATCTCTTTTGGATTAACCGCATGGGCAATGCACTGGCAGTTGCAGGACAGGCAGCTGCCAATCAAGTTTTCAACTCTGCGTTTTGGTTGGCTTCCTTCTTACCGAGTGGTATGTTGATTCTGGCAACCACCATGCATGGTTTGCATCTGCTTGCGTCGGATCCGGTTTTCCTTCGTTGGTATTGAGGTGGCTAACTCTCCTCTCTTTGTTGTCTTTTCATCAGTCACTGCGACCTTTGTATCAAAGGAAAACGCTAATGGAAACCAGGAAGGTGTCCAGGATGCAATTTGCCAGGCCCTCTTTGTGGGTATGCTTTTTGCCTTTCTTGGTGGCGTTGCTCTCCTCTTGCAGCCAGACCAGGTCCTGAGCTCTGTTCTTAAACGTACGTCGTCTCAACAACATCAATGACCTGTCGCTGTTGGGGCAAAACACAGCTTACTGGATGCTCTCTTTTGTATTCAGCCGGGGCTCCCGCAATGGACTACGCAAGGCCATACTTGATCATCAGAGCCTTCGCCTTCTTACCGTCCTTAATCTCCGTTGTGGGCTTTTCCGCATTTCGTGGTACGTTTGAAACCTACTTGTCTCTCACAAGGGTGGATATAGCAGGAAGCTTCCGCTTACAACATGTCTCTTTGCATGCTGCAGGTATCTTGGAGACTGGCACGCCTGTCAAGATCAGTGCATTTGCAAACATATTCAATGCCATCCTAGACCCGATACTGATATTTTCTTTAGCTATGGGGGTCAAAGGCGCAGCCTTGGCTACGTTGGCAGCTGAAGTAAGTGGTCGTGCATGCATCGAACAAGGATGGTGCTCTCGTCTCAATGCTAATTCGTCTACTGACCACTACTAATCAATCCACTCGAATCCAATCAGGTAATATCCGCGGTTATCTATATCGTTCTATTGAGAAAAAAGGGCATGATCAAGCTACGGAAAATTTTCCGCTTTCCGTCCTGGTCGAAGCTAGAGCCACTGCTTCGGGGTGGGTTTGCGCTCCAGCTACGCAATGTGGCCCTCAACATAACTTTCCTGGCAGTGACCAGAGTCACACAATCCATTGACAAAACAGGAGTTGGAGCCGCAGCCCATGCCATGGCCATCCAGGTCTTTCAAGTTGGTGGCATTGTCCTGTTGGCGCTTAGTACGGTTGCCCAGACCGTGGTGCCTAATGACATGGTGCAGCGATTTGATGAAACACGACAACGCATGGTGGGTGGACCCCGCGAGGCACGTGGCAGCGTCAATCGGCTCATGAGCTGGGGTTTTATCCTTGGGATATTGCTGGGGTCCCTCCAAATTCTGTTGCTTCCACTATTGCAGAAAGTGACGCCTTTGCAAGAAGTCCGTGAAGCTGCTCGAGTTCCCTCCTATTTGGCAAGTCTGTATCAGATTATCAATGGCTTGGTCTTTATCGGTGAGGGCGTGATGGTAGGCACTGGTAGCTTCATGCAACTGTCCCTGGGTACAATTGTCGCCACTACTGGGTGCCTGTGGGCATTGAAGACCTTTCCTCCAATCTTTGGGCTGACAGGAGTTTGGATGGGATTTGGGGTGTTCAATGTGCTTCGACTAATAGGTGTCGCAATCCACCAGTTCTACAATGGCCCTTTGAGCCTGCGAGTTCTCAAACAAAAAGAGGCATTGGAACAGCCAGCCACTAGCTAGCTAACCAACTAAACTTGGTTGAAAGCTGTTTTCTGCTTTGCTATTCAATCTTTCCGTACTTGGACGATGGATCTTGCAAATCAAAGAAATCCATGCATCAAATGGAAGGATATTAGCTAGTTAAGTTTTACTGGCTGTCCCATCCATAACATGCAATAGTAGTTCGTTGATTGTTTATTTATTGCACATAATCCCATCGTGAAGCCGATCGCAGGATGTTCGTCCTCAGGTTTTTGGTATCCTTTTTTCGTTTAAAGTAAATTTCGATACAAGCGGCTGCAAATGTTTTGGTACACTCGTGGTTGTCATCCCAATAGAACATGTCCGCAATGGCATTGATTTCTTGCAGTAGGGCTATCCGATCAATGGTTCCGGGTGTGTTGCGTGCCGGTTGGCTTTCGCGTCTGGGCGGTTCGGCGGGTTTATGGGGAGTGCGAGTGACAATCATGTCATTATTTTTGTTTCGAGTAATGTTGTAGCCACCCGGTGGAAAGTGCAGTTCCATGTATAGTTCGTCCCAGTCGGCCTTGGCAATATGTTTCATGGAATCCCATTCAGCCCCTTCGACATCGACTTTGAGAATGGTCAATTTGGAATTTCCAATTTCCTTCATAATGGTGGGTAGTGACTTTAATTTCCACGGGAGTGTATTGAATTCTTGCAAATAGTCCAATCCGGGCCATCGAAAGGGGACCTTTCCCGGTCCATAGTCCTTGTCGACAACTCCCAATCCGTAGGAATGATAATGGGCTCGTTGGACTTTTTCGTATTCCTTTTGCGACTGCAACCCTGCCGGACTGGGATCAAAGCCGTGGACTTGACAGCCTTTATTGGCAAAAAAGTGATCAAAACTGAAATTGTCGCGAATGCCAAAGGAATAAATCACACAGTCCTTCTCGGGAATAGTAGTTTGGGCATCACAAATCCACCAACCGCCATCTTCCACATCTCCGGCCCGTATCCTATTCGGACAAACTTCTTGTTGGTTGCGCACGACAAGGCTGTAGTCGTAGGAAGAGGGTGGAGTCATGATGGTGACATATAGGAGTGCCACACCCAAAACAGAGGCAGCCGCTGCCACCAGTGCCTGCTTGTTCTGCTTCACAAACGCCACGGCAGGTGCTGGAATTTCCATACCCAACAGCATTTGCCGCTTAGGATTATCGTCGCATTTGCTGGACATGATGAATATTTAATCAAACCTAATTTAATGGATAGATTGAGGAAGGAATGAATCTATCAAAGGAAGCAAGAGCTTGAGGGATCTTGTGGGTTTGCTCGTCGACAATTACTTGGGTTTGCTGAATGCTGGATGCTGTATGCTGGTTTTGGTTGGATCCAATTTCTTGGAGGTATCTTTTTCCACCTCCACGCCTCAGCATCCAAACAGCTCTGTCAGCTTATAACTTACAACCCAAGCTTCTTTGATCATCCCGCGAAAACCCAATGCGGATCCATAATTCGCACTGCCTCTTCGTCACCCCGTACATCAACATTGACCATGTCTTCATCTGATCCTGACACTACGGCTGGTACAACCGGCGCTATCAGTGCCACCAGTGCTGTCACTTCTGCTAACAAAAAGCAACGATTGCCCCCTCCAATCGAGTCATTGTTGGATCAAAAAGATATTTGGACTGACAATATCTTTCCGTTTCTGGGTGTAGGACACTATGCCTTTGTGGGAGGAGTCAACAAACAGTTCAACCAACTCTACAAGGCCTACTGTCATTCCGTTGGGGTTCCTTGCAATACAACCAGTGACAGAGCTGCATTCTTCAACGTCTCCTGTGCCAAATACTGGGATTTGGATGATGACAGACGTGAAACTCCCTTTTGTGACCGCCTTTGCAAAATAATTGCCAAAGTGGGAAGTGTCCATGTTATGCAATGGGCACATAAGGAAGGATATCCATTTGATGATTGGGCATGCTTTATTGCTGCCAGAAATGGTCATTTGGATGTCTTGAAGTATCTTCATGAAAAAATGAGCCCCAAATGGGACACACATGTACCGGTATGTGCTGCTGCTGCTGCAGGAGGGCATCTGGACACTTTGAAGTATCTTCATGAAAATGGGTGCCCCTGGGACGAAGAGGTGTTGGAGGCTGCTGCTAGAGCAGGGCATCTTGACATTTTGAAGTATGCTCATCAACATGGTTGTCCATGGGATACATATGGCTCAGCCTGCCAAACTGCTGCCTGCAACGGCAATTTGGATGCTCTGAAGTATGCCCATGAAAACGGGTGCCCCTGGTCCCCTCGGACATGCGACGTGGCGGCCATGCATGGTCAGTTGGATGCTCTGAAGTATGCCCATGAAAATGGTGCCCCCTGGAATGCAAGCGTATATTGTGGGGCTGCCAAAACAGGTCATCTGCACATTTTGAAGTATGCTCGTCAACAGGGCTGCCCATGGGACGAAACTGTATGTTTTGATGCTGCACTCAATGGACATTTGGATGTTTTGAGTTACCTTCATGAAAATGGGTGCCCCAGGTCCAAGCGGGAGCAACTACTGACTCCTGCCGCTGGATCTGTCAACCAAAAACACTAATAGCAACAACGATAACAATACGATGGTCACTTCTATACCATCACCACACCTATTAGACCCATTGGAAGCATTGAAACGAAGCGAAAGGACCTCAGGAAGCCTGTTATCTGTCATCTTGTTGAAGAGTACTGTTTTACTATAGGAATCCACTCAACGTCATCACAGAAAGCACACATCCCTTCTCCTCTCTTTATCTCTCATTCAAGCCCTCCGGTTGACAGGATCGACACCTCCTCTGGTATCTGCTATCAAGCGCACTCCTCCTATCAAGCGACTATCAAAGCAGCCTTCTCCGGTTCAGATTAGAAAGCCATCCCAATTGAAATTCTACGAGATCGGGCGGGTTTTCTATTCTCGACCGCCGACGGCCAAGTTGGAAGAATTTGAACACAAGAAGAAGTCACCGGTCTTCCCCAGCACAGCACAGAAAACAATTCCCATATCTATTTGTTGTTTTCTCAGCTACGCTCCTGACGGCCATCGAAATCCCATTGTCGATCCTCTTTTTCGTACGATCGAACGATCTTTCCGCAGCAACAACAGGTTCAGTTAACCTTACCCCTAAGGCAACTGACTCACCCGAATCGCGAATCGAATTGATTCAACGAATCGAATCGAACCGAATCCAAGACCCGCTACTCCGTGAATCGATCGATCTTCCCGCGAACGTACCTCTCCTCCGATACGTACCTCTTCCTCCGTATGCAGCCTACTGTCATCAAGAAGGACTTCACTAGATACCTGCAGTGACCACCGAGAAGAGAATTACACCTGTATTCTTACTTTCTTACCGGCCACTAGTGGTTTCTCCCGAAATCCTTGTTGGAACTGATACTTCCTGCTATCGTTACCACCCATTGATATCTAACTCCTCTCCAAGAGGAACAACAAACAACAACAGAGTTCCTGTAAGGACTTGGGTACAGGTTGGCTCCAGCTAAGGTCAGTCTAGCCAGTCACCCTGCTCAGGCCTATCACCAGGCTTGACTGTATTCTTCGTCGTCTACAGCCTCCTCCCTGGGATACCCAACTCCTCTCCAAAGGACCTCACCCCCACAAGAACCAACAAAAGTTGTCCCTTTAGTACCACATATCATAGATTGTGCAACACCCCCTTATTGAACCAGCCACCTCTCTGCTCCTGCACCTGACTCTCCTACTGAGTTTGTCTGACTCCAAATGATTGAGCCCCAGACAGAACTGCAGCGTGGTGTGGCCCAGATATCAACCACCACCTGACTCTATTACATCTCTAGCTGATTGTTGAGTGACTCCTCAGTCTTTGTCCATTCCACTGAATTGAGTACCCTCTACAAATCTTGGCTTGACTCTCTGTTGAAGTCTGTGGTAGCCTTCACCAGATTGAGTACCAGCCTTTGAGACAACACAGTGTCAACCAGTAACACAGCCCCATCAACCAACAACACCCCTTGATCCCCCCACCACTGTCCCCCACCACTGTCTCTACTGGCTATAGCGTGACTTCTCCAGTTTTCCCTGAAAGAATCCCTATCAGCCTTTGGCTTTGATCCCTTCCTTTTGCAGTTTGTGGTAACCGCACTAGATTGGGACCTAGCCTCTGAACCAGTGGCCATCTCCACCCAACAGCTTTGATCCATACCCTGATTGCCAGTGCCCCAGAGCATTGGCCTCCTTGAATAGATTCCTTTGAATCAATCCTCCTCACCACCTCACAAGCACTCCCTGTGCTTGAGTTGCAGCACGACCCAACAGTCAACATCACAGGAGACTCCACCCTCCACACCACCATCATGCCTCACATAGCAAACACACCATACCCAACTCCCTCCAGCACCATACCATCTACAGCCCACAACCACCCCTCCAACATCCACCCCACAACCCCTCTTATAGTCCACACCGCCCCAGCAGACACTGTGCCTCCCCTTTGGGAGCCACTGCCTGCCAGTGCGTCACTTGGCCCTATCGCATGGCTCTTTGTCGGCTTCTGCCTGACATCGTTCGCCCACTGAATAGGTCATACCCTGACATGGTCCAGTCTTAGGTGCGCCACCGCCTATGGACTCTGCTGGCATCTTGCCTTGCACGACAAGGCAATGGCCACAGCATGGGACCTGATCACTCAGACGCACCTGGCTGTGGTGGAGGTGGATCGATGATGACTGTTGTCGATCAGCGCCCTTCTAATAGGTTAAATCCTGGCTAGGCCACCGTGCTCCAGGTCATGATGGGAAGATGCACACTTCCGTTGTAAGTAGAGCTGTAGGGACCTGCCCCTTGTTCATGGGGCGGAGGTGAACGGCGGTGAGACTATAGGATAGTGTAGCCGTGCTACTATGAGGCATATCCTCCTTCAGTGTTGACGCTTGGTGTGCACCGTGAATCTTCCTATCGTGCAATTCACCAATGGTATACGACTCAGCTATTTGGGCCCTCGGGCTCAACTATTGCAAGCGTAGAAAAAGGTCCTCCGGACCCAATAGGTTGTTAACCTAAATAAGTAATTAAACCCCTGGGTGCCCAAGGGCCCGTCGGGCAACTGCTGCTGCTGCTACAGGCGGGCATTTGGACATTTTGAAGTATCTACATGAAAATGGGTACCCCTGCGATGAAGAAGTATGCCAAGGGGCTGCCAGGTGTGGCAATTTGCAGATTCTGGTTTTTTCCCATGAAAATGGGTTTCCATGGAATGAACTGGCATGCCGTGATGCTGCTCAAAATGGCCATTTGGATGCTCTGAAATATCTACACGAAAAAGGGTGCCCCTGGAACCAATGGACATGCTCTGCTGCTGCTGGAGGTGGGCATCTGGACATCTTGAAGTATGCTCATGAGCTTGGCTGTCCCTGGGATGCATCCGCATGCAATGAGGCTGCTAGTCATGGAAAGTTGGAGATTCTAAAGTATCTACATGAGCATGGCTGTCCTTGGGACTCAGACACAAGCGAAGCTGCTGTCGGCTACCACGGGGGAGGCATGGAAATGCTAAAGTATCTGCATAGCAAGGGGTGCTCAGGGTTGGAGGACTACTTCGACGGTGAGGATCTTTTGGACGAGTACATGTAATGGGATCAGTACCGATACCAATGACAACAATAACAGCACACTAAAAAAACAAAGTTTACTTTCTACAGGTCTACCTCTTTCTCTTTCGCCTCCACTTGTACTGAGCGGGCATTCCATCTTCTGTTTTGCCCTTTACTTTTCGTTTGCGTCCCTTCCCAGCCACCAATTTTTCTGTGACCAAATGTGCTTCTGCCCGTTCCATGGCTCTGGCTCTTTGGGAGCGTGCTTCGAATTCCGCATAGGCTTGAGACCGTGCCTTGGCGGCTATTCGTGCCCTTGCCCGCTGTTCCTTTTTTTGTCGTTTGAGATCCTTTTGGGAGATGGGTGCCTCGTCATCATCATTGTCTTGTTGTTGTTGACTCGCACCCAGCTGTGCATGTCGTGGTCGATTGAACGTCCTTTCGACAAGTTCGGGTGCCGTATCAAAGTGTTTGGCAGCATCAAACTCGTCCGCTTGTTGTTTGGATTGTACAAAGATAGTGTGTTTCGACTTCGTCTTGGTCATTCCAATGAGATGCAGTGATTCCTTCAACCGTTGTGCCTTGGTTCCATCTCGTTGTTTTTGCAGTCGCACATACGCCAAATCTTGACTCTTCATGACCCGGACGGCTTCAGGGCCAATAGTATCACTGAATTTTTCATTGCGGGTTTCTTCTGTCATTTGGTGTCCTCTGGCATCCGTCACTTGTGCTTTGTGCATTCCAAAATAGAATTCGTCTGGATTTCGCATGGCCGCTTTTTCCTTCAGATTTCGAAGTCGATCTTCTTGTGCGTGATAATGAACGGCACGTTTCTTGTAGTCACCATGTTTCTCCAGTAACCCCAAATGAGAGCGAGCTTGTGGTTGAGACCGTTCCTTGTGCGTGATGCGTTTCACCGCATTGCGAAGAGAGGAGCCCGGCATGGTGGATGATGGATGAAGAAAAAGAGACGGAAATCAGCCAAAAGGGCGTTGAAAGGAAGGTATATGGGTATCCGTGAGTTCCTTCAGGAAGACTAGCCTTCCTCCTCTATTTAGAATAGAGAACCAGTTGCTTCCTCAGTGTACCAATAGCCGTCGTCCTAACTAAAGAGAGGGTATCATCGGCTATAATAATGCGCTACGAACAGTGGAACAGTGGAAACAGTAATTTCAAAGAAAACACGTGAAAAAGGATTGGATGCAAAGAATCTTATTAGAGCGCAGGATAATCGTAAAAAAACAGCTGGGCTGCTAGAGTAAACCTTAACCCAAGCGTATTTCGAAACAATTTTAGTAAGCGGTAACAAGGCACCACGGGAAGACAACTAGCTAGAGCCAAGAAGAAAGAAAAGCTGCCCTCGGCTCGTGTTCAATTTCGATATCTGAAAGAAACAGGATGTAAGTGCCGTCGCCATGGCGTTCTGTCTGTCTAGAGCTAGCAAGTTGAGGTTTTCTATCGGAGAAGTGCCCTTATCATGAGCACGGTTATCTGACCTTTTTCCCTCCACCCTTTTTGGTACCCTTTTAGGTCTCATCGTAAATTCGAAGCTCCCCGTCACGGCTCTCTGGGTTTCTTGCCCAAGAAGCGCACCAAGCACCATGCTGGTCGCATCAAGTCCTGTCTTGACACCAACAATGGCACCTTGAGCATGACCCAGTCCTCATTGACTTCACCGTAGTGGACGAATCCACCCATGGGAGTGATACCCTTCTTGGTCAAATCAGTTTCGGTCTGACAACTGGCTTCATCTCCCTTCTTTCCAATGCGATAGATCTTCTTGTTCATTTCAGTACGGTGGAAGTATCCGTTTTGACCAGCACGAGGGACGGTGGTGGAGACACGGGCAGGATGCCATGATCCAATACAGGCAACCTTTCGAAGACCACGATGGGTCTTACGGGGCAAACGGGTGACACCCCAACGAGTGGTGACTCCTTCGAATCCTTTACCCTTGGTAACTCCAATAACATCAATTTGCTCGTCCTTCGCAAAGATGGTATCAAAGGTAAATTCCTTTTCAAAGAGATCCTTGGCAAAGTCGACCTTGGCAGCAGTATCTCCTCCGTTGACTTGGATTTCCATAATGTGAGCCTTCTTGATGCGAAGTCCGAGTTTCTTGACCTGGGTGTGGGCAATGACACGAACAGAAGTAGCAAATTTACGAATGCGATCCAATTCGGCCTCGATTTCCTTGCCTCCATCCTTTTGGTACTTGGTTGCGTACTTGGTGTATGCCTTTTTCTTGCTCTTGTACCAGTTCTTGTAGCAACGACGCTTGAATTCTTCACTCAAGTGCTCGGCAAAGACAGTGGTCAAAGTGCGAAGACCGCTGGGGGTTTCGACGTATCCAACAACACCGACAACGACCATGGAGGAGTCTCGACGATACTGACGGCATCGACGACTTCACGCTTGTGCATGAGGGCACCGGGACGGTCGACACCACGGACGACGTGGGTCATCCCGGCCTTGTATCCACGGAAAGCAGTCAAGTGAGGCTTTTCACCCGAATCGTCCTTGGGGA